TATTCCCTAAAGATTCTCTTAGAAGGTTCTAGAATATTCTTAGAAGGTTTTAGAATATTCTGATAGATTCTAGGAAGTTGCTCGAGAAGTTTCCTAATTAGTAGAAGTTGTTGGAGAAGCGTCCTAGTTAGCGGAAGTAGCTCGAGAAGCTTCCTATTCAGTAGTATATATAGGAGTCGAGGCTGAAGGGTTCTTCAGTCTCGACAACACATCTCTTAGAGTTCTAGCTCACCTTTCTGGTGTTGTTCTTGTACTCATCTGTTTAATCTAGTTCTGCCACTTCTTCTTGAACTTCTTGTTAGATTTCAAGTCTGTATTTTGTGTCCGTGACAATTACCTTGGCTCAGGTGTTATTTTGAGAGATAGTCAGAGGCTAATTGAGAAAATCTTCGAAGGAGAAGTCACTTATTTCTATATCAAAGTTTACAACCAAAGCTTTTAAGTTTTAATGGAAGCTTATTGCTCTCTGAATAAGCTTTGAGATTAAACTCACAATTCTTTATAAAATTTGATTTCATCAAAAACTAGTAAAATCAATAGGGGTGTTAAGGTAGGAGAATGCATATGAAATTCTTTTCAATGAATTAAGAATTCAATTAAAAAACCTGAAACATAAAATTATTTAATTTTTTTTTTTTTTGTAGGATAGAATAAAGGTAGTCCATTATTTTAGAAGAATATTTATTAAAGACTTGAAGTTTGGATTTGAAGAGCTTGATCTCTACTTAAAATTATCCTCTTCTTTATTTTCTCCTATTCAATATTAAAAAAATCAAGTATATATATATATATATCTATATATATGAAATAGATTTTATTAAATAAATATATAATATAAATATTAAAAAAATTAAAAATACTTCATACTATTGTGATGTTTTAAAATCAAATGCTTAATAAAATCTTCTATTTGTTTAACATACTTTATTTTTATTTTTAGCATACTATATTTTACATATCATCATTTATATTCTATTTATTAATTTAAATATAAAAAATATCATTTGAATTATTTCAAGAATCATTGTAATAATTATGCAACAATATATTGTGTAAAATTTTACATATTTTTATCTAGTATATATTATGTATGTTATTATTTTTGGCTTAAAGTTGTAAATGCAAATCTTGAAGACTTTAGAATTTTTCTTTTAGTATATCAATGTAGTCTTCAACTATAACTTGAATAAATACATAGAAAGAGTGGATATAAATATTTTTTAATCTTAAAGATTAAAGATGCTTAAATGATCTATTAGTAATTAAAAATGATAAAAAATAAATAATTACAAGTACATATTTATTATTAGAGAAATATTTGATATTTTTTGGTAATAACTAAGTGTTTTAAAATATCCTTGTATCATATATAAAATATAAAATACCAATATATGTGTATAATGTTTTTCCAAGATAATTATATAAAATAAAAATATTAAATTATATATTTTTTTAATTTTTTAATAAAAATCCTTATTAAAATAAATAGGTCAATATACATATACAATATAAGTACCATCAATAATGCATATTATCACTAATATAAGTTAAAACCACTAATATATATATATATATATATATATATATATATATGACTTGTTATACTAGATTGCTTGGCAATAATTAGCCATATTATTTGTTGCTTCCCTATAGCTTAGAATTGCAATGACTATTGAATTAATGAGCAATTTAATATTCAATATTTTCATACCAAACAATTTAAGAATTTAAATCTTATTTAATATGGCCATTATTTTTTTTTAATATAAAGTTTTTATTAATTTTTTTGAATGATTTAAAAAAATATTTTTAAAATATTCACAAATAATCTATATTTTTTTTATAATAATAATTTAGAATTGATAAAAAAAATATAAGTTTGGGCAGATGTAGTCTAAGTACAACACACCTTGTATATAAAATAAAATGACATGAACAACATAAGTCTTGAAATTGATTGTTATTACATATAATACCTTCATTATTTAGAAATTTTTCAATATTACTTGATATATTCCATATTTTTATCTGTATCTATACTAGTATTTTTTATATATAATAATAAATCAATAATCTTCATGGTTTCATTATATATATATATATATATATATATAGAATTGAAATTAAAATAAATATAAAAATATGTATATATATTAAATAGTTAAATATTTTTATTAAAATTATAAATAAATTCTAATTTAATAAAATTAATTTTAATAATAGAAAATTTTAATAAATTTGATTAATTATTTTTAGAATTAATGATAAAAAAATTATTTTAAATTTATTTTTAAATATAGAAAAAACATAATTTTAAAGAATAAAACATAAACAAGATTTTTCAAAATTATTCAAATTATTTTTAATTAATTATAAAAAATCTCCACATATTAAAAATAAAATACTATTATTATTCTATATACATGGTAGAAATAGAATATCAAAGATAGTACTTGGAATAAATTAAAAATATCAAAGATAGTACTTGGAATATCAAAGATAGTACTTGGAATAAATTTAAAAAATATATATCAAAGATAGTACTTGGAATAAAATGTACAACTTTTTTTAAAATTACAAATTTTGAGACTCGCTTAATGTAGACATCCAATGCTCTATGTAGTGCTTGTTAAGAAATGTAATTTTTTTTAAAATTAAATATTAAAAGAAAAATTAAAGAATACGATATAAAAACTAGCATGATATAGAGGAGTACATAGCTTAAGATATATATATATATCTATTTGTATATATTATAAAATTGACTTGATCCATCCACTTGTAGTTCTATGTAATGCTTACAAAAGAGAGTATAGTTTCAAAAATAAAATAAAATTCAAGCACTAGATCAATACTGCTACCTATTGTCATATGCAATGCTTATGAAAGAGCATTTAGTTAAAATAATATAAATTTATAAAATAAAACAATTAAATGTAGACATGAGTCAAATACATCTATTTAATGCCCAATGTTCTAGTTGTTGTAGAATGTAGCAAAAAAAAGCACAACTTAAAATTAAGGTTCATTGATGCCAATTTGTAAATTTTAATTCTTTATACTTGATAATAATTATAGAAAAAAAATGTGAGATTAATTAAAAGCACATACTTGGTAATTGCAGCCTTGGAGCTTGCAAATTCTAATTCTTTATATAATTTGCACTGAACATACTCAACACCATCCAATAACATATAATTATGTATAGACTAGAAAAAAGCCAAACAACAATTTGGTGCCCTAGATGCTACATCTAGTTGCACCAACTAACCACAAACAACTTTATCCATCCATGTTGTTCATAATTCTTTTGAAACTATTTTATTTCACTAAAAACAAAATCACAATATTCTAACGTCAATTTCAAATGAATCCACAATTATTTGATCGGATATTAGAAGTTTTTTTCCCAAAATCTCAAAAGTCATCCTCCAACTTTGACACATTAATATAAGAATTAGAACTAGGACTCAATAGCGGGAATTCAACAAAGCTGAGCACAGAAACCATGGTTGCAATATCGAGCAAAGCTGGTGTACTAGTGTCAATCAAATCAGGCGCTCGACAGGCAATACACACTTTTTTCCTTCTTCTGTTCTTCTCAGATCAAGTTCAATCACGCCACATTAGATGTATGCCGAAGCTTCTGGTTCCAACATATTATAGAATGTTGGGAATGTACGCTTGTGAAGATATTTTTTCCTGGCAAGTTATTACCCTCTGCTCGCACCTTGCATTACCAAGTTGTGTGAGAATCTTAGCAAGCAGACCGTTGCCATTTTGCGCATGGCGTTTCAAAGTGCAGGTTCTCGACAAGATTATAATAGGAATCACGGAGCCATTTTTGTAACGTTGTTTTTTCTAGATTACCTTTCAATTCAATTTTCATGTCACGTCACATGCACCTGGTTTGTGTTTTGCAAACAAGATGTTTCTTCAGTTCTATCCTTGTTGATGAATAAGTTATATGGGCTTTGGATTTCTACGAATCGGACTCTTACGATCCTAATATTTTTACTGAACATTGTTCGGTCATTCTGTTATTTTTGGCTTTCCATGCTTCGGGTCCCTTCCTTGATACGGACGAAAGCTGCAAACTGAATCATCGCCAGATCTGCCACTTCAGAAATCAAAACACTGCGGATCACACACTTATTCCCCGAAAACGATGTGTCTATCCAAGCCAGATAAGTTTCATTTCCCTTCTGGAGGTCTAGCAATCCGCCCAGACGTTACTAATATCAGAACACAGTCACACAAACCCAACCTAATCAAGCAATCGGGCTAATCAACCTGGCCCCCAACGTCAATGTCGTGAAACTGCTGCAAAGAAGCAAACCGGCACGATACAAGATCCTCGTTTATCTCCTTTTTATGAAACTTACTTCATCACCCATCACTCAACCAATAGCTCTAGTCGGAATGACGGAGTTCAAACCAGCAACATCATAAAAATTAATCTTTTGAATTTTAAAAGAACGGCAATCCCCACTGAGATTCAAATATTCCCGGCCTCACTAGTCGCCAAGAGACACACCCCATGCACCCACCGTTTCTTTAGATTGGAACACTGTAATATACGCATGTCATAAAATACTAATACTCTAATGTTAGCCAAGCTATCCGTATGCCCTTCTCACGCCACCCCAATTTGGTCCCCAGGAGTTTTAACCTGGCCTAGGTGATTGGATAGAATCCCACTGTGGAGGGACCAGATTCTTGAGCTACAAAAAGAGGCTGTGTGTTTATTGTTTCCGGATTGATCCCAGTAGGACTAAACTTGTGCCGCCTGATAGCGCATGTGTCGTGCAAATCCACATTTTCAAAACGTCAGAATAGCCCGGATGATCCAGGAACTAAGGGTGGAATGAAAACAGACACTGGCTGAGACTGCCGTATCCTCGCACTCTCATCACTTTCGAAAAGCAAAGGAAATGGACAATAGTGTGCATGAACACGACCCTGCAATAGTGCCCGCTCATCATTTGGGAAACGCAACCTGAATGTCTTCCATTCATGAGTGGGACTTTGACTTATCGCAAATAAAATGTTGGGGAATTTTTACTCCTCGGACTAACATTAAATGCACTGCTGTGTAAAGTATTTAATCGCTTGGCCATCAAAAGACCAGGGGTAGATCGATAATGCGACCATGGATCAACCAACAATTGGCTGCCGGGTGACAACCCAAACTCATATGTACAACTAAGAAGAAGAATCAACCGTAACCAACATGGTAGACCTCTACCCTACCCTCGAAAGTTGATAGGACAGAAATTTGAATGAAACATCGCCAGCGCCATCACAACAATGAGAAAAGAATAATAATTTTGATTTCGTCATTATTATCGTAGTTCGCAACCACGATTCTGGTGTTGGTGCTTGAAAAATTACCGCACCAGGAAGAGCTCCGGCAGTTAAATGGCTGGCAAATTCCACCTGCTCTTCTGTGGCAAAATGAACTACCTTGCCACATACAGAACTCATTCCTCCTGTTCCGAGGAGAGTCGAGGCTTAGGCACCAAGGAGTTCTGTTCGGAGGTCCACCACGATGATGGTCACATCATCGTGAAACTTCCTCCTGCGCCCTATGGGTATCGCCTTCAGCTGGTCTACCGGAATCCCTGCAGCAAGACAACAAAGAAGAAGAAACAAGAACAAAAAAAACGCAAACAAACAAGAATGAGAATTCGTCTAAAGGGAATGAAATCGTTGTTGGAAACCAATCACAGCCATTTCTTTGCATAATGTACACTCAAATTAAAACTGCACCAACCACTCTATCAGTACATTGCACGAAGTAGGTTATGGAAAGTGTGGTGAACAGGTTGAATCAGCAGTACCAGTTGAAATGCTTTACAGACATTTGCTTCTAACACGCACCACCTTTGTAAAACAATGCATGGCACGTTCCTGAGAGAATTGGCCACTCACCAGCGTTTTTCGCAGCGCGAGCAAGAAGCTGCTCCACCATGTACTTGGAAGGATCACCCGAAGGATCCGCTATCAGAAAGTTATTGATTAACTCAACCACTTCTTCGTTGGAAAAGAAATCAAACATTCCATCGCTTCCAATCACTACAAATCTATCCTCGGGCTGGACTTCCAGGCTGCTCACAGATGGTGTGACTGCCAGGTAGGGGGGACTGCTCAAATCCTTGACACGCAATATGCCCATCAATGCATTGTTCATCGCAGCCTGCACCCAACCATCCCACAACAAAATTCAACGACAATTGATTGTGTCAAATATTGACCTCGCAAATACACTTGCAAAAATGTGAAGCAAAACTGAGTTATTCACCTTTTTCAGGTAGCCAGCACCGAAGGCGCGCGTGACGCGAAGCTTGCCTTTAAGGCGGCTATTGAAGATGGCGCGGGAATCCTCGGGGTGCTCCCTCATCACGCGCTCGCGCTCGCGCGGGTCTTCAGCGATATGGCGCTCCGTCAACTCCACTGCGTACAGAGAACTCGGCTTGTTGGCAGCATTTGCAAGAGCTTTAGTGGTGGCGAGAACAGCCCGGCTGTCGCCCAAGTTCAGAGTGTACAAGCTGCGCCCATACAGGAGCACGACCAGCACACACGAGCCCACCATGACGAGCTCGGGCCGCTCCTCCATCTCCTGTTCGACCTTTCGTAGAAAATCGCTCTCCGTCTGGACCAATGCTTTCTGCAGTCCTTCCAGCACGCCTTTCCGAAATTGCGGCAAGTCTGAACTTTCAATGTATGACGACGCGCCGCCGTCGTTTAGCTCCCCGAAATCGTCCATGGTGGTATCAGTGCCCCTGTCGGCGGAGTTGCTGGCGCGCGTTGCTTGCTGTGCACCAATTAGGACATCATCTATCACCACTGTGTCTTCGCCGTCACCGGAGTTCTGGCGGTCGTCAATGTCGAGGAGCGCTTGCCGTTTCTGCGCCCTGTGCTCTAACAGGCGTAAATGCAAGGCAATATTCTCGAGCAAAGTTCCGGCTAAGAAATCCGCCGCGTCACGGCCATTGAATCCATCGTAAACTCCACAGATCAGCCATCCTTTGTCCTCGGAGCAGATCGCCTGCACACGATCCTCCCCCGCGGCGCCTCCCGCCACTTGCACATCCTTGGCGTTAAGAAAACTGCTTCGGTTTGCATTTTCAATGCTGGATGCGTACGAGGCCAAGTCCACAAGCTGGGCTGGGACGGAATGGCTGCCGGTGCTATTGAGGATTTTCAGGGTCGACATATCGCTCTTCAAGGAGGAAGCTCGATGGATGGATTCCATCTTGCGGAATGTTTTGGGGGAATCCAAACCCGGAAGAATTTCCTCCCCAAGCTTGCCATTGCATATGCTGCTGTTCGCCAACGTTGCATTGGCGCCCAACGCAGCTCCCGACAACGACGAGAATGTATTATTTCTTCGAGGGTTAAGAAATCCGTTGGACAAAGTGACAGAGACCGTGTTGTCCTCGGAGCTGATCGTGGATGCAGCCTCTGGAATTGAGAGAGGTCTCTGGTTGGCCACCGAGTGGCCATGGTTCGATTGGCACTGGTATCCGAAATGCACGCTCAGCTCCTCCGAGGACTCTCCTTCTCTCCGAACCTCCACAACCTCGTCGTGCTTCAAGTTGCGCCTCGCTTTAGACCCGCTTCCCTCATCAGTCAGCATTGAATCCCCCGTCCAGCCAGGGCGGTCTGTCGACAACTTGGCCCCCATTTCCCTTTTCCGTCCGCGCACAAATTACCTAAAGACATGAAATTGGCCGCAACTCGATGTGCAACAACGATGTCTTCTTCACACATCTGCTTGTGCCGTCGAATGTACAAAGTCCACGAGTTCACCTACTTTGGTAACGGGTTTCCCTTCTTCTATTTGGAATCAGCCACCATGTTCTGTAAAGATCCTCCTCTTCTACGAGTAATCTCTCAACTTCCACTGGATGAATGGCAGACTACCTGAAAGGTGAACTGGGAGAATATTCCTGTCGCCGCACGAGCACACACGAGAATTTCATCGATCAATTCTTCGCACTCCGTAGCCGCATTCACACGAAATCAGTGATGTAATCAGGGCAGGAGAAAAGGACGCACTTCACCGCGGAAGCCGGGCGAAAGGAGAAACGCATTCCAAGCTTCATAGTATCAGATATTCAACCTAAGGTACGGCCAACTAGAACAGAGAGCGTACACCCATAACCGAACCCATTTGATCTTGTTGGAGAACCGAAGCACCCGTCCGATGTATTTCAGGCATTTTGCGTAAGAATCCCTCTGCTTCTGCCTCCAATCCTAAACTTCTACCGGGAAGCTACTCTGGAATAAAGCGAAGACAAATTCTGCACGTCTAAAAAACAATCCTGAAAGAGCGAAAAGGAGAGGTGCCTTCACCAGCTGAAGCGACGACACGTGAGGCGGAAGGTGGATAAAAGGCGAGGGGAAACTGAAAAGGAACAAAAAAACCCACGCAAAGAATATTCAAATCACGAAACCTCGCAGGCGCATCAATCAACACTGGCAATCAATCAATCGACAAAGAAAACTGGGGTCCGCCATAAAACCCCCAATCACACGGACACTGGGAGCAACTCTCACGAAACCCTGCAAATCACTCACCTCCACCTCCCACAATATCGAAAAGCCCCCACCGAATTCTCCACTCCGCCACGAAACTAAGACAATCCCGACCCACGCATCCCAGCCCCTCTCGGATCTCGCCCAGTTGCAACCCCTCCCCACTGTGCTCGCTCCACGTCCGCTGTGCCTCGTCGGCAAAATGCCTGAAATAACGCTCCCTCCCCAACGCCGCAGGAAATTCACAAAACCACCGACTCCAGGAGCACGAAACCCACGTCTAAATGCCTTCAGAACTAGCACTTGAGTTCCATCCCGGCGTAAGAAACGACGCTTGAATGGGAAAAAAAATATAAAAAATAAAAGGTGCACAGAAGAGACTCTCAGGTGCTGCAGTCAGAGCAGGCTTGGAATCAGCTTACGCGAAGTGGCACGATGGCTAAACAGCAGGGCAAGCGACTCTCTCTCAGGTGCGCTCCGAAAGCTCTCGCAAGGAACGTGTGCGTGCGCGCAGAAGGACGGCGAGCAGCAGCGAGCGACACTCGAGGCCTGCTCCCCCTATGTCCAGCCTTAGGGCTAGCTAACTAGGGGAGCTGATCATAGCCTTCAAAATGGGTGTGCGAATCGGGACGGAGCAAGCGAGGAAGCAAGTAACGATGCTCCTGCTCTTCTTCTCCTTCGTCTTCTCCTTCTACCACCATCACCACCGCCTCAGCTGCAATACGACAATCTGCAGCGGCAAGGCCCGCCGCCGTTTCCGCAGCACGGGCCGGGCCCACAGGGCAGCGGGAGGGGGGGGGGGGGACGCACGGTTGCACGCCTACGCACACTCTTACGAGCAGTTGACCTTCTTCATCCGCCCCCACGCTCCCTCTAAATATAGCGGGGGTATTAGAGCTGGGTCCTCCTCATTCTAGCCTACACTTTGGCGAAGAAGGCTGAGTTAGCCATGTAGGAGTTTGGGCTTTGTTCACGTTTGGGAGGAATAATCAATGCTTGCATCATTCTAAACTTTATCAACAATACACGTAGAGTGGTGCAATATTTTAAACCTTTTTTTTTTACAGTTTTTGTTACATTGTTAAGGAAAGGGTTTTTTTTTTTTTTTTTTTTTTTTTTTGATTAATGTAAAATTTAGTATAACATCTTGACCTTGATTTAAGGTTCTAGTTTTAGGTGTGTAATTGGATTGCATGAAAAGTGGTGTAGATTTATTTCATGGAAATATGTATTTTATTGGAAAATTTAGTATATTTGCTTTCATCTAAGTTGACTTAGATTTTATTTTTATTTTTATTTTAAAGATATTTTGGTATATCTTAATGTCTCTTACAAATTAAGGCTGGTGTCTTTTGATCAGTGAGTTCTATCATGATCAATTACCTGAAAAAGATAGTTCTCACTGCTTTAACATTAGTTTATGTTTCTTATCTAAAGATCTTATCACTATATTATTTCTACCAATAAAAACAATTAGATGCCATAACACTTTTGCATCATTAATATATCTAAGGAATTTTCTAAAAAAATACAATTTAAACCAAAATAAATTTTAAATTTTAAAATTTTAAAATATATTAAACATAATTATTAGATCTCGTTTGCTAAAATATTATATGATTGTAGTTTTTCATTTCTAAACTCTTTGAACAATTAGATAAATCAAAAATCCATATTAGATTGTTTTTGATGTATTTGGAGTATTAAAAAAATATAAGTTATTAATATTTTTTTATTTTTCTTTTATCTTGGTGCAATTACTACTATCTATTTATTATCAAATACATCAAATTCTAATTGATTCATTTTTAGCCATGGTTTTATTCAATAGAAACTTCTATTCTATATTAAGATTGAAAGCAATATCTCTTTTTATTAAATGATTTGGATAAAAGTAAAAGAGATGTATTTTTGAAAAAAATATTATATATATATATATATATATATATATATATATATATATATATATTCTTAAAAAAATCTTTTCATTAAAAATTCAAAAATTAAAATCTATTTTTTGTAGTAGTCTAGTATATATATATACAATGATTTGTATAAAGTAGAGATATTGCAGTTTAACAATTAATCTTCAAACTTGAATCTTAGAAGATAGATCCTATCCATTTATCTATCTGTCTTATTAAATTTGAGAACAAAATCATAAGAACAAAAGAACAAAAGAACATAAGAACAAAATCAATATTTTGTTTAGACAAGGTTAAGACAACTTGTTTCTTATGTCAGGTTAGAATTGTTGCAAGTTAAATTTTAGCTTAGATTCTATAAATCTATCTAATAGAACATGACACTAAGAATCCTAGCCTTAGTTGGTGGTGGCTAATCAAAAAATAAATTAGAGATTAAATGCTCAATGGAAAAAGGTATGATTATTACAAAATTATTTTTAAAATTATATTTTATATTGTAAGAAATATACTATTAATTACTAATTAATTTTATTTTGTAATTTAAATTTACAATAATGATAAAATATACATATTAAATAAATAAAATTAATTGTAATACTACATTAAGTTATTGTACTAAGAATAAATGTTTGCCCTCAACTACTTAAACAATCGCTATTATTACTTTGCTTGTTTGATGAAGAGAGAAATATATGAGAACATTTAATATAGTTACTCATAACTCTCTTTTAATTGTTTTTTTTTTTGTTTCATTTTTTATTTTATTACCTGTACTTATTGAATTTTCATAGTATTGTTCAAAGTGAAGTGTAATAGTAAAGCTACTAATTCTTCTTAGATATCATTATAATGTGTTTATAATGTATTTTATAATAATTTATTATTTAAATTCTTACTTTACATTAATCTACTAAAAATATGTTCAAAAATATTTCTCTTCCAAATATTTTAATTTTGTAGACTAGTTTTTAAATAATATAATCCTCTTTCTTTTAAAAAACAATAACATCCCATATTTTTATCATCTTCTACATATATGTAACAAGTGACAATAGAAGTTGTCAAATGAAACACCAATCAATATTTTTTTTCTTCTAATAATTTTTTTTATATTTTTATACTAATCCTTTCTATAAAATTTCAGGGTAAAATTCAACACTGTTGTTTGTGTCCGCATTGTATAAAGCTAACATTGCTATTATAAGAATTCAAGATCTAACACCAAAACATGATTTTTCTAAGACACTTAAAATTTTCATACAATCTATTTAATAAAATGTTTTGAGGAGAATTTTAAAAACTTCTAGAATAATCATTTAAGTTTTTACTAACAAAAAAAAATTCAAAAAACTCTACCAATAATAAAAAAAAAATAATATAAAATCCAAAAATTTCTACACAATGCTATATTTATTGAAAAAAATTAGAAGTAGAAACAATTCGTCTTTTATTGTTGTTTTTAAAGCTTTTTACCTCATTAGTGTCTAGTTTGTTAAGAAATTAGTAGCAATGGTGTATTATTAGTATAGCTTAGGAGATGTCTAGTAGTAAAAAGGGTATCCATGCAATAAAACAAAAGTGTCTACTTAGTTGTTACCTCTATTTATGAGTAATATAAAACATATTCTTTAAAATATGTTTTTACATAATAATTTAATTCAAAAGCAAAATGTGGCTCTTTTCTATTATACTTGGTCCATTTCTAAAATTTGTAAACATGTATCCATTAGAAACAGTTCTATAGAAGATAAATATCATATTATTATTATTATTTTATTTGCAATTATTAATATTAATGAATTTCATTATAGATATGACATTTTAATCATAATTATCTAAAATATTTAAATAAATTAAAATATTTACAAATATTCTTTCTTTTATTAGAAATATTTTACAAAAGAAAGTTTAAAAAATAATTAAAAAAATATTATATAACAGTTTTCAATGCATTACAAAAAGTCATAAAGAGCATCTATTCAACACTATTCAACACTTGTATCAAATTTTAGTGAATTTTTAACATTGTTGAGATGGTGTAAAAATATGGCAAGTTGAAATATTAAACAAAATACAAAAATACTCAGGTAGTTTTATTTTTAATTGTAAATATTATCTAGGAAAAGTGTATTATGTATATGTATGTACAAATATATATATTTATATACATACATACATACATACATACATATTGGGTACAGTTGAAAGGAAAAACAGTTATTGGGTGAGCATAATTTGCAAGGCAACATGTATAATGAAAACCATTTATTTATTAATAATTTACTTTGTTCACAAATGAGTTCATGATTTTAGTCCTGTTTTACTGTTGTTCTATAAAGAAGTAAAATATATGCTGTATTTGTAGCCGGTGAATTGTCACATGTTTCTTTAATCCTTGCCTCGTACAGAAGAGGAAACCCTTTCTAACATCGAAAGCTTATTTTCATATCCTAGATTAAGTTTCCACTTAGGGCATCCATACAAGCCTTCAACAGTCCAAAACATCTTCATGGATGGAATCTATGCTTTAAATGAAAACCCTGTCAAACATACCATTTGTACTGTCTTCCAAACAGCCACTCCACGCGGCAGTTAATGAAACGAATTTGGTTTTCAGCTTTCATCAGCCGGCTTTCTAGTTCCGAGCTTTGAGCTCAGTTGACAGGGGCAGCCTCACACAAACGACAAAGAATAATTACAATGCTCTTCCATAACAGTTCTCCGTGAGTAGGTACAGTGGAGTTGGTTTCACTCTAGGCCTCTAGAAGTTTAGTATAGTTGGAGCTTACGTTCAGATGTTGTGACCTTTAGGGTCGGAGATTCCCTGCAGCGCTTCATTGACACATCATCGGACCGGAATCGTGCGTTACTGCGGCAACTTGTTGCCATTGATCATGTTCCAAGATTTGACTTAACCTCTTGGAGAATATGCTTTACGTCTGTCACCTACTGTTTACCGTCCCATTCAATTGCATCCGAAAAATGGTCGTTCGGAGTTGCTCCCATATTTCATGGAATGATTTCGGTTGCCATTTGATATGCTTTTTAAGGGCACTTTCTCTGGACATACGTAGGACCATGTTCCTCGTACCTGGAAATCAGACGATGGGGCAGTGAAGTGGCCATAAAAGTGTGCATGGCTTGCGACTGCGTTGCTAAAGTAAGTTCAAGAGGAAAGAAGTAAAAGAAAAGAGAAGAGAAGAATCTAAAAGCATCGTATTACCACAGTTAAGGAATCGTCTTTTTACATAATCAAGCAAACACAATTTTCCAAGGTTCGTTGATACTACGAACTATTTCCTTACACTCGAAGCAACAGAGCAAGAACGAGAAGTCGATTGGTACAGATTAGTGGATTAAGTAAAATGAAGAAAATCCGTGCGTTGAGAATAGTGATGCTTACTCTGCTTTAGAGAACCACATCTGTTGGAAAGACCCCATTGAGGCCAAAATGCTGCCACCAATCCACACGCTGCACCAAATACAGACGCCGAGACTGAGTTCAATACAGGAAACATTAACTCTAGGCTGGTTCAAAAGCAAAAACATTTTACACTGTTAGAAGCAAAGACAGAGTACAGGACCTGAATCGACGTTCTAAGGCGTTGCCACTGGCCAAAACCTTCACACGAGCAGCTGGTGGTGCTTCCTGCGCCCAGGAAAGAAGCTTAATTCATCAGCGGTGACCCAAGCAGCTAAAGGTTGGAATCACATGTAAGGCAGAGAGCAAATGTAAAGATGCAACTACTTTTTCAATAGATAGCCAGGAAAGCCAAATTAGTTGCTTACTTCCATGAGATCCTTCTCTAACCGCTCCTTCATTTGATGCATGGCAGCAGTACCACCAGCAAGCTATTCCATAGTAACAAGAAAATTATCATTGAGATGAACTCTTCATTCTAAAAAACAACATATCTCGGAAGAAGCTGGGGGTTTCTTTGAAATGACTTGTTCATTTGAATATAGAAATAAACATAACAAAAGTGAACTAATGACAAAGGTGAAACAGGCACTTTCGACAGATTCCTGGTATTGAAAAAGCATGCAGTAAAACATGTACAACAAAGTATGATTAAGATGCAGCAGGCAATACGATAGCAAATCTAGGGACCTCAGCACCTTCACAACACGAAAGCATTGAAGTTGCTAATATTCTGAAGTTGCAGATAATTATCAGTAATGAAAATGCAATTCAAAAACATACCATCACACTGTTGAAGAGCTCTCTCCGTAAATCAACATCACATTTGTTAATACTCTCAATCACCTGCCACACCCAGACTAGACACATTTGATACTTGGTACAGAGCACACAGACATACCCGCTTCTGTGAATTGCATGATAAGGACTGAGACAATAAATAAAGAATGAAACGGACGACTTAATCTCACCATTTGAGGAAGTCCATAAAAAGTTGTACCAGCTTCAGTACTAAAATTTTCCATGCCAGGAATTGTCTGCTCAAGTGATCAACACTGCAAACTTCAGCGAGAGGATTTTTTGGATTGAAAATTTCTCCAAAGCATTAAGAACCAACAGCTAGATAATGTTAAGAAAATTAAATCGATAACGATACAATAGCTCCGCGATGGATACAAGTAACATCTACTTCGGGTATAAAAAGTTGCAATCTGTCTTGAAGCATTGACCTGAGAGCACAAGATTAGAATCATATAGATGTTGAACAGGGACATCGCTCTTACAAATCAGGGTGTACTTCTGCAGAGTGAACACAAAATTACCTGAATAATGGTGGGGTTAAATAGGATATCTGAAATCTTGAAACGATCCGCTCCGACTTCAATTATCCTGTGAATTGTAGAGCATAAATGCCAAAAATTTCAAGTAATTGATCAAAGATGGTGAAGTCGAAAACTATGCAAGACAATCCAGGATGATCGAATGATCCACAAGCACTTACTGGCCATCTGGAAGCTCATATGGCGTTGTTGGAATGTTAGCGTACGAAGAATCTGTGTCGACATATTGCACATCACGACCATCAGTAATATCTAGCGACTGCTACCACAAGCTTCATTGAAACTCAATTAAATAAAAACCAAATCAACTCTCACTGAACTTAGATATATTAAGACCTGAAACAGCAAGTTCATCCTCAGATACCAACATATTTTCCATTTTGAACAGGAAGAATCAGAATGAGATTTAACCATCAAAAGCTGAATCTGGCACACGGCATATTGATTCCTTTATGTCGGCCACAATAGCTCTCTGCGCATAAGCGTAGTAGCTGTCTGTCGTGTTTGGAGGATCAAGCGGGATCAACTGCAAGAATAGCAAATCATTAATAAGGATAACCAGTGAATGCTCTATCAAGGTATCTGATAGAATATACGAACAAAGGACGAAGCTTCAGATTTAACAGTCTAAACTAAACTATCACGCAAGTTATCAATCAGTCACAAACCTCATACTCTCCGAGACGAATCTCCTTGCGCTTGAATGAGAAGCGTGGTCTGATCTGCAAGCATACTACAAGTGTTATATTTGTGCACTAAACCAAATAAGGTTGGTTCTCTTAACAATGTTTAATAACGTGAGTATGCTACTTCTTTTCTTTTTTCAATGGAAATAAAAATATAACTAAAATCGAAGGATTATAATGAAGAAAAAAGACGAACGAACGAACGAACGAACGAACGAACGAACAAGCATTGACTCATACTTCGTAAAACAGAAGTTGGGTTTCCCAATTGAGCAGAAAACCACGTATCGTAGAGCCTACACTTGGCATCAAATGGTCAGTTCTTAAGTACAGCAGAACACTTCGTGTGGGAATAAGAACTCACTATAATGCCTTTAGCTTCCAATGTCCGTTGAAGGCAATCGGTTAGGACTTCCCCTCCAATTGGCGATCGAACTACAGCCTGTCCACCACGATACAATAGACTTCGATCCCTTGAGCCACTTGTTTAGAGTAAGACAGCATAGAGATTGCTCTTAGTCCATGCTTTCAGGAGCTGGCATCCATGATACAAAAGACCAGCAACTCAACTCCTTGCAGTAGAAAATTGGATGCGCAGAAATACTGCAGCAATTGTTACAATTCACAATACCTTCTGGAGAACATAACCGTCATGTACTGCGGCCACAGAGCCTAAAATGACAGAGCCTCCCCCGCTGTCATCCTCATGCACCAATCCATATAAAAGATCAACTTGGTATTCGTAAAAAAAACTTCATTGATAATTCAATAGAATGAATCAGATTTTTAGTTGAGTGCCAAACGGAGGCTCGTGAACGCCAGAATAAGCATAACATGACATTCCTCGCAGGAGATGTATCGTAGTTACAGACCAGTCCACAACGAGAGATGTTGCTCGTCCTGACGCAAAGGATGTCAAAACCTAGACAGCCCCATTTCTACTTTAGTCCATTAACAATTAGAAGCTCCTAAAATGACAAGATTAATAGAAAATATATATAAACAAACTGATGAATAAATTAATTAAATAGGTAAGAATTCGTTATAAAAAAATGGCTATTTGTTCTAGTAAGTGCTCATGATACATAGCATTCTGTCTACTAACTAGTCTTTTATGTGGCTCAAACATAATTTTAAAAAATCAAAATTAGTATTAAGAAGAAGATGAAGCAGAAGAATCGATAGGTCTGGAATGAATTGATGAATCTAGATAAATAATTATCAAAACCGAAAAGCGTACCGCATTCTTAGCCAGAAACAGAGCTGGTACGTCATACCTCTCGAACATTAGCTCAACCATTCTGTGACACCCAAGAAAGTGTTCAAAGATTTTAGTATGGTTGACCCACAAAGCTTGTCCTCCCTGCAGTAAAGAAGCGAATAAAATCATCTATATTAAAAAAATTAAAAACTCTTGGACTATTAATCGGATGAACAATTGTGTGGGATTATACTTCTCGCGGTGTTGTTGAGTGTTGAATGAGGGCTCTGCGATAAGCATTGGGTGCTCCTTGGGATCTATCAATAGCCTATCTCTGTTCAAAGACCACTCTTATAGTTATAAACAAATAGGCACGGCAAAGAACTGAACTTGAGATTAGTGTTTAATCGCGAATACATGGATGGGATAGCCTTAGCAGCAAATTCTGTTGTCAATAATTAAAAGTAATGATGTTACTTCCTCAGAATAAACCAAAGTTTCGCTCAATTTGTGCCCGTTGAGGCCAGTACTTATACCTGAAAGCATGATCCCAAAGACTTTCCACAACATCCCAATCTGCAACTAGGCCACCCTTCATAGCTGGTAGGACCTGCAATACAAGAATAAGGATCAATATCAAATCATCACCTGAAAACTGTTCCGTTCACACAGTCGATCCAAGCCTTCTACTACTCAAGGATGCCATGGAGAACAATGCTAAGGCAAGACTCCAATCCGCAGAGCTCCATATTACTTTAAAGTACTTCCATCGACAACAATCTGCCACCCTGTACTGTTATCATAATTTATAAACTTAAGTAATCAGAAAAAGTTGCACAACTATTATGAAAGTCAAAAGGTATATACCTCCATGTGATCTCTGCGGTAGCCCAGAGCTTGTACACCTGCATAGAGTTTCCTCACTTTGGCCACTTCGGCTTGTCCAGGCTTCTTGGCCTCCTTGTCTGTGTTTGCTCCTAAGCTCTCTGCTGACCCCACGGCCTAAATGATACAACAGAGGCATCAGTCAGATCCCAAATGCAACGAAGTTCTGAGATAGAGAGTAAAAAATCCCGTCAAAGGCAGAAGAAGCTTCATACTTCTTGTTGACCCTTGAACACTGCTTGCCCTTTTTCTGTCGATGACCACCATCTTGGTGATGTTCCTAAATTATAAAAATGAAATTAACAAGGTCCGTTATGACTAACCTAGTCACAAACAACCACGAAAAATGTAGGTGATTGTCGCACAAACTAGAACTCTCAAGATATACTGTCATAATAAGTTTCAAGATCGGAAATAGGCAGTGGTAGAATTACCGATGGGAATACAGACTTGGGCTGGTCCTCCCCTGCATAGCCCGATCTGCAGGAGTGCGAACCAAGGTCGAAGACGATCGCCGATACCTCATCTAGAAAACGAAATTTTCTGAATACCATCAGAAAGTCCACCTTACAGAATTGGCAGCGCATTAATCCACTACATGAATGCGTAGCGGGGGGGTTGCAATCACCATTACTAACTCAAGCATGCGACGAATGGACGTATTGTGCTCTATAAAACCATTAAGTAGGGCGATCGCAATGAAGCGAAGACAATCAATAAGTATTCTGACATGACTGTAATTCGGAGGCATCAATCTTGATCCCAAACATTGACTTCTTCCAAACTCCCATTCTAAGATTGCTCTAGGTGAAAATCTAAGCTTCAATTGTGTCATGAATTCATATTCCCCGTAGGGAATAAGAAAAAACAAAAATTAAAAAATCAAGTAATACAATAAATCGTTCACCAATGAATTTTAATTTGCGCAGGCAATTTAGTGCCAAGGTCGTTCATCAGCCGCTCATTGCTGGCGGTAGATATCGGTCAACGTTAACTCCACCAAAAGAAGAGCATAAGAGCAAACTCACCGCCTCCGTGCATTGCAACCAGCTGAACAGAACCTCAAGGTCTCCGGTCCAGCTTGTGTTCAACGGGATCCTGCAACCCCGAGGTGCCAGGGAAATCAAACACGCGCACGCCAACGAGAACCTCATCAGAAACAAACCAAACCAAAGCTCGTTCATGGAATCTAGGCGTGCACCCTCCGATTTCCAGCGCTAACTCACACGAAATCTACTCAATCAGAACGCCGATTGATTCCAACTGAGCCTTAAACATACAATATTCTAGAAGTGACATGATCGAGGAATCAGGTGCGTAATGAACGTAGCGATGAGAAAGGAGACTCACCGACATATGCCAAATTTGTCGCGACAGTGCAGAAACAGAATGCACGCCGAGTCCTTCGGCATTGGAGCAAACCCTCGCCTCCAGAAAGAGACACGCCGGGAGGAAGCTTGGATAGATGTGGATGAAAAAGATACCCTTCAGTATTCATCTAGCTATCGGATGTATTCCGCCTGCGGCCCTTCGGAAAGTCTTGGGAACATCCGAGGCGGCACGTTCCCCACGTTCGTACCATAGGGAGGGATGGCCCCTTTATTTCATCGATAGAGTTGGGGTCAAGTATATTTCCATCCATACTTTTAACAGTTCTACCCATTAACTACAATGTGGTACTATAAATGTGTCACATTTTTTCTATTTCCACCCATTGTGATTACAATGTGGTACTATAAATGTGTCACTCACATTTTTTCTATTTCCACCCATTATGATTACAATGTGGTACTATAAATGTGTTACTCACACTTTTTCTATTTCCACCCATTATGATTACAATGTGGTACTATAAATGTGTTACTCACACTTTTTCTATTTCCACCCATTATGATTACAATGTGGTACTATAAATGTGTTACTCACACTTTTTCTATTTCCACCCATTATATGATTACAATGTGGTGTTCCAAATGTGTTGAGAATGGTTACTCCCAAAACCTATCAAAATTCATAAATAAGTCTTAAACACGTATTATGCTAAGAACATTGTATTATAGGTGTATTAATTCACACACTCCTCTTATGTCATTTAGGAGATTCAAAGATGTGAGCTTCTTGGGCAAAAAATATGATGTCTACTTTCAAGAAAAAATGTTTTCTTTTTAGTTGAAGAGTTCTTAGTGTTGGGAATATCTAAGTACTCTTAGGGATGTAGAGTCACAAAAATTGTAAATTTTTTGAGTTCAAGATGAGTGGATTATAATTAATGTGCAAAATTTTAACAAAGTAGTATAGAATATTCTCTAGTGAATGTAGCTTTTAGATTGGGACTATGTGTATTAGGTGTATGTATATATGAGTTGACTCTCTTATTTTCATAGATTGTGATTGAGCAATGTAGCAATTCTCTACAATGCATATAACTTCTTTAGCTTTCAAATTTTCTCTTCATTTTTGATGTTCTCTTCTCATTTTCTGGCTTTGCCATATAATATAATAAAACATGTCTCTTGGCAAACCACAATGATTTCATTGCCTATGTATATAATTACCATTTCTACCTTAAGTATGGTGTATCAATTATGCAGTCCAAGAAAGACTTACAAGTAATGTTGGAGTGCAATTTGGGTGGTGAACACTACAACTGCTCTAGTTTGAATTTGGAGAAGAGGCAACATAAAACGAGCACATGTCTTATTGGCTAAGAGCCAAAAGGACAAAGTCGGCTTTTAGAAAGTCAAAATGTGCAATGACATACACAACCACAAGCCATTGATAATTCTTGCAATCCACTCTATCTTTCAAGGATTGTTGGGAGAAAAAAATAGATTCTTCAAAGGCCAACCATAGCAGATATTCCAACATGTGAAGAATTGGTGATTTTGTGACATGGACATGAATAGCTACTTGCCACAACCAAGGCATACTATACCAATTGAAGGGTTACTCCATGCTTGAACTAGAATGAACTAGAATGGAACAAGCAGTGGAATGTGATGCTGGTGGCCACATTACACTCTTGTTCCTAGCTCATCCATAGTCCATCAGTATGACAAGAAAATACCAGGATGTACTGCTTAGGGATTGCACTTATAAAACAAATCGCTTCAAATTGTAGGTAGGACAGAGTTGAATTTGACGATCTACTCTTGCTTAGCGTTTTTGGTCAAGGAAGAGACGACGGACTACAAGTGGGCATTGGCACAAGTATGTGGCTTCTATGATGGCATTGCAATGACAGAAATGATCATTACAAACTGCGATTTGACCTTGGTCTTTGTAGTTGCAACCACTTGTTCTCACGTCTCATGAAGCTTTGAGAATTAACATTTATTGATTATCCCTCATGTTTCAGAAACGGTCACAGCCAGCGGAAGAAGGGACCTTCGCCAGGCCCAGTATTGACACCGAATAGGATCAACTGTCTCAAGTAATGTGCACAAAGCACTGGCCAGCTCAGAAGGCGTTACCCATGTCGGTAAGATCTTCTGTAACATCTCGCTTTGCTCAGCAGTAGGCTGGAAACCAGCACTCACAAGGTCTAACAAGAAACCGAGTGCTGGCACGTTGTATGAATCCTTCACTATCTCAGATATACATGTTTCACTTACTAAAGGATCTTTCACGAGAGCAGACTGGTCATCTAAGAACAGCCCCTTCAAATACCTCCAGGAGCTCTCATTTGCTGGCACTTGCTTGATGGCGTCGGTGCAGTAACGGACTTCTGAATCCCTCATCTGATGCAATCCACCTAAAGATGGACATTTGGTAATCACGAAGAACCTCTGCAGGCACATACAGCATACCACATACAATTATTCCAAATGCTGGATAGTTTCTGAACTCTAATCTTCCTCATAAAAGTCTGGGGGCATGATATACCAAGAATACAAGACTACCAGTATGCCTAGGTCCAAACTGCTCTGCATTCGAAAGCTTCGGCATGGGGGAGCTCCGTGAGTGATAATGTGCTGGCATACTTAGGTGCTAGTAAATTCTGTTTTTCGTACCTGATTCCAAGCAGAATTGTTTGCGGAATCAATCTTCAACAGAGTGGAGCAGTAATCAAGTTCCCAGCTCCAGTCGTCGAGCTCCTGCAGTAGCCACTGCAAATCCAACAACAGGCATGCTTTCAGTTCTGGTAGTGTAATCATGTGATATGTCCATGTAGAGAGGAATCATAGCCGAAATTATTTGATTGAAAGCAAAAATGTGACATTAGTGTTCATGCAAGGAGCATTCATCCAGATATTAGACTGCCGATAACGTCAGCCACGATGCCGCTTCATCCTAACGGATTCTGCAGGCCTTCCCAAATAATTTCAGCAGCTGTAAGGCAGACGTAGAAACTACCAAATCAACATAAAAGTGCTGATTGAAAGCAGTACCTGACGATGAGACCAAGCGTGATAGTTTTTCGGATCATCTGCAAGCGCACCTTCTGTGAACTCTAGTTCCTGATAGACAGCATCCTTGCCTAGTTTCTGTACCACCCACCGTCGATGATGCCTGCACTATTTCAGATGAATGTGAACTCCGATACCCAACAGATGCGTTGATGCAAGGACGGAAAAGTTAGCAAAGAGACGATGTATGGAATAACATTGCCTCTGTTTTCAGCTCTGATACAAATATAAGAATCACATGTGATAGAAAGGGATAGAAAGAGCCACCAGATTTGATAATTCTTGTGATTGCCTTCTGCGTTGGCGTTCACAAACTCAAGCTCCTCAAGCAAGTTCGAGCTCAAAGCCTCCAGCACGAGTCGTCTGAAATGCCACACCTTTATCCCAACAAGTAGAGTCAAAGAGGTCTTGCACGTTATGAATAATCCGAATTGGTAACACGAAAGCAAGAAGCTTATGGTCTACACAACTATGACTGAAAATTGCAAAGAGTGAACATTCCTAAACCTAAAAAATAATGTAACAACAATAACTTGAAAGCCTTTACCGTGTAATTTGCAGGATTAAGGGCTATGACATCGCCTGTGAGCTTCAGAGCTCGAGGACTGCGTTCATCTTTAGCAAGAATTGCACGAAAACGGTCCATTGCCTCACGGAAGTCGTCAGTGTAGGCGATAGGGACTACCGGCCGGGGACCGTCATTCTGTGGAACTGGTTCTACATCAGACCAATCAAAATCCAAGCCCGCTTCGACCCCTTCTGCAACCACGGCAGCGGCCATCCTACTGTTCAAGCAGTTCAACACTTCCAACGATCAGTGTCAGACTCAGCTTGTGCTCTCTAATGCAGCAATTTTCGATGCAACTTCAGAATTGTTAGGAAGCCCTTCCCCACTCTGTTAAACTCGGACCTGCTCCTGAGCCCTACGGTTTCGTTCTCCTTTAATTTATACAAGGATTTGTTACTGAGCCTCAAACTGTCCTCCACTGATGTGATTGCGCACTGACATCCAACTCGAACTCATCTAATGCATTTCAGCAGCAATTCTTTTCTTCTCGAAGTAGGGCTTGAGCCAACTCTCTGAATGGTACTCGAGTGAAATTTTGAAGCGTTACAAGATACGACGCATTTGATAAGAACCCAACTCTCTCAATACTGACAGTCTTCCACACCCGAAGGCCAAAGTAACTAATTTGGCAGCACCCACAAAACTGCACAAAGGAGCAAAAAGGACAGAAACCCAAACACGGACGTGCCAAGCAAGAAAAAGAGTCGATGATGTGACCTAATCCGAGCGGTTTCCCGGCAACTCCAAATCGATTAAGGGATTAACCACGACTCCGATGCACCTATTGTGCTCCAGTGCAGTAATACCAATCTAAAAAGTACCGATCTGTTGAATCATCAAAAGCCTGTTGGAGAAGAATGACGTGGAAGTGAGAAGGAGTCGTAAACCTACATCATGCTAGGAGTTTGCCTCGTTGGTAGGTGCTAAAACACAAAGGGTATGGAATATTCTAGGATCTAACTGTGACCGCGGGAGGGGAAGGATGGGTTCCGATGCGTCAGGTGACTAAAATTGCCAGATCGTATGTGGTGACGAAGATTTTTAACGGAATCTCGACAATTGGTTTCTGCCCAAAGGTCTAGGGTTTTGCTCTTCACTTCCACTTCCACTGCTTTCAAGGTCCACTTCCACTGCTTTCATTTCCTTTCCTGAGGCTCTAGCTCTGCGATTCGACTTGCAGGACCCGGGACCATGGCTATGGCAGCTGCCGCAGCTGTGGCCTCCCAGGGTCTGTTAGCTACATCTTCTCAGCAGCAGAAGAAATCTTCCGCCAAACTCATTTGCAATGCTGCCACATTCTTTTCGGGGAAGAGATTGCTCTGGGTGAAGAGCTGTAACAACGGCGCTGTAGGGCTGCGCGCGAGTGGGGTGCGTTGCGAGGCGCAGGCGATTGAGAGGGAGGCAGTGAAAGCGGATGCCGGGAATAGTCGCGAGGAGGATGCATTCAGTGGGTTGAAGCAGGTGTGTGCTGTGTTGGGTACGCAATGGGGTGACGAGGGGAAGGGCAAGCTCGTCGACATATTGGCCCAGCGCTTTGACGTCGTTGCTCGCTGCCAGGTGCTGTTATTCTTTCTCCACTCGCTTTGGCTCTCATTTTCGTCGCTTTTTTGTTTTTCGTCTTGGTTGGTTTTCTCCTCTGCTAAGATGGTGTGGTGTTGTATTTCTTTTTTTTTTTTTTTTTTTTTTTTTTTTCTTGGATTCGTTTGCAATTGCAAGGCGTGCAGGTTCTTGCTCTCTCCTCTCAGAAATTTTGGCTGTAGTTCTTGAGTCCTGTTTTTGGGCATCCGCTGTCATGATTTCCTGTTGTTTTTGTTCTCTTAAGTAGTCGTTTCGTCCTGCGTCCAATTTTGGGATCTGTGATGCTACTTCGAAATGTGCAGTGTGGGTTTTTTGTTCTTTGGTTCATGGGTACGCTGCATTTTCAATTCATATACATCTTTTAATTCTCTTTGTAACAGCACTTGACATGATTTTAAAATCGATGAAACGTCTCAATTATGCTCTTGGACTTTACACGTGAAACCTTTGCTCATAGTGCTACGTCCAGCTTACTAACCATTCCTGAATGTAACACTTTCTTGTAAAAAAATTCTGTCAATTGACTTGACTGTGGCACATGACGACGTATCTTTATCATTCACCCCGAACCGTGCTCATAGATGGGCGTATGTGAGTGACACTTGTGCGTGCAACTGACGTCGCATCAATACAGTAGAATCCCTTGGGAAAAAATTCCTTTAGTGTCCCTGTTGAGTTACTCGGTTGTAGCGTATATTCACAAAACTCGATGATTCACCTGAGTCATGTCCTTCTGTGGGCATGCATGAGTGACACTTCTGTGTCTTAAGCTACATCCGTACTAGAAAAATATCCATTTATCTCGTGCAATTAAGTGCTTTGGGCGACATGTTCTATTGCGTGTAGACTGCACTGTTTCTCTTTGCAGTTGTTCTCTTCGGTGTGTTGCCTGTAATTTACCAGTTATTATGAGTGCGATTCACATGAGCAATGTTTCTCTTGGAATTTAGGGAGGTGCAAATGCCGGCCACACTATCTATAACGATAAGGGCGAAAAGTTTGCACTTCATTTGGTACCTTCTGGGATCCTCAATGAGAAGACCACGTGCGTTGTTGGCAATGGAGTAGTGATTCATCTTCCAGGTAATCCCACATTTCCGGTCGATTATTTACTAGTCATGGTTTCCCTATGTACTATGGTATGAGGAGACAAATCAGGTTACGCGGAATGCGACTTAAAAACTCAAGGGATGTTTTACTTCGACTTACCTTACTTCACTAATTGTCCTCTTCAGGATTCTTCAAAGAGATAGATAACCTAGAGTCGAAGGGTGTCAACACCAACGGTCGTCTGCTAGTGTCCGACCGTGCCCATCTGCTCTTCAACTTGCACCAAGAGGTCGATGGTTTACGTGAAGCCGAGCTGGCAGGACAAATGATTGGGACAACGAAGCGTGGCATTGGTCCTTGCTACGCCAGTAAGGCCATTCGCAATGGTATTAGAGTGAGCGACCTCCGCCACCTGGATACATTCCGGGAGAAATTGGACATTCTTTACCGTGATGCTGCTGCCCGGTTCAAGGATTTTGAGTACTCCTCCGATGAAGTAAATGCTGAGATGGAAAAGTATGTCAAGTATGCGGAGAGACTGGAACCCTACATCGTTGATACTGTAGACTACGTAAATGCTGCTATTGCTGAAGGCAAACGCATATTGATTGAGGGAGGCCAGGCCACCATGCTCGACATTGATTTTGGAACGTATCCTTTTGTCACGTCTTCAAATCCTTCTGTTGGAGGAATCTGTACTGGTTTGGGAGTAGCACCCAACCGTCTCGGTGACATCGTTGGTGTTGTACGTTCCTTCTCATCCTCTTGCTTGTCTTGTTTTGGGTTCCTTTATGGTATGGTTACTGTTTGTTGCATCTGGCGAATTGGGCTGCCTGTAATTCCATATCATATTTTTCTCATGGCATTTGACTTTATTTTTTGTGCAGGCTAAGGCGTACACAAGCCGTGTTGGCTCAGGCCCATATCCCACAGAGCTCTTCGGTGAGGAAGGAGACGAGCTTCGTAAGGCTGGGTTTGAGTGGGGAACCACTACAGGCAGGCCTCGTCGCTGTGGCTGGCTGGACATAGTCGCCCTAAACTTCGTCTGTACCATCAATGGTTTCACCGCTATCAACCTCACTAAACTTGATGTCCTCTCTGGACTGCCTGAGGTGAAACTAGGAATTGCTTACAAAACCCCATCCGGCGAGAAGCTTAGAGCGTTCCCTGCTGATCTGTCTATCCTCGAGCAAGTTGAGGTCAGTTCCTCTTCTAAAACTTCTTCACTCTGTAGGCTTCCTCCTTGTGTCCTCTATCGTTTTCTGCAGTCTCCTTACATTGCTGAATGTAATGCTAAGCATTCTGCCTGATGCATTGGCTTCTGATTGTCAGCTTCCTGATGCTCTTTATGATCGTGATGTGATGTGTTCGAGTAGGTGGAGTATGAAATCTTGGAAGGGTGGAAAGAGGACATCACTAAAGTTAGATCGTATGACGAGCTACCAGCTGCTGCACAAAGGTATGTGGAGAGGATAGAGGAGCTTATTGGGTTACCCTGTCAGTATATTGGTGTGGGTCCTGGTCGAGATGCTTTGATTGTGAAGCAATAGTTGGTAGCTTAGTTGTAGAGATTTCCCAGGTGCTATATCTGTGGAATAATTTTGGGGCTTCCTGAAACTTTTGATCCCTTGATTACCGGCATTGCTTTGAAATGCTGCTTGTTATCCTTATTTTGTTATTGCTCTTCAATAAACTTAGCTTTACTTTCCCTGTTGACAATGAGCTTTTAAATCTTGAGCAGGTTTTTTTTTTTTTTTTTTTTTTTTTTATAAATGCACGTTCTATTTCGTTTTACTTTTGTGTAGCTATTATCATGAATGATAAACTTCGGGGTACTACAGCTTGAGTTTCTATCTTCCGTAATGTTGAGGTAGAATATCCCTAGAGTCGAAAACTTTGTGAGCAAAGTAAATCCTTTATATGTGTTCACTGGAAACCTTTGCTTTGAAAATTTATAAGTGATACAAATTAAGTGAAAAAAACTAATCCAATATTCATTATGAATTCATATATGAACACATTTTAATTGATCCAAAATTCAATGGCTTATTTTTTTACATTTTCTGATACTGTCACTTTTTCACATGATGATATAGCAATTTCTGTAATGGTTATAACTTGATATTTAACCTGATCCACATGGAAAATATTCTAGTAAGTTGTTTTGGTTTGCCTCACTTCTAGTGTGGATCTCTTAAAAGGTTTATTTCTCTAAAAATTGGATCATCTTGGTGGCATTGGGAAGTGTCATCTATTCCATTCATATTTTAGATTTAAGTAAATAAAACTATTAAAGTTTTGATTATAAGAACCATAGATTAACATAGATCAATATAGCATATAAATATTTTTTTGAATTCAATGTAGATTTATGCAACAAATATAAATTCAACAATACAAATATGATTTGGAAGGGAAGTTTTTTTATATGTGTACTATAAGATTAGTTTGTATCATGTATATTTATTCTTCACTTAATACTTCTTAACTATGTAAATATGTGTGTTTGTGACATTATGTCTTCTTCTAACAACAAGTTCTACAAAAAACAATAATTATATGTTGCAAAAATTCAAGATGTGACAAATTTTATTTGTTATATATTTTGATCTTTGTTTGCTTTGAAGGTGGTTGATAGGTCCTTTCAACCATTGATAGTGTCTTATATCTGACAAGAAGACCACCATGATATTTGATCATTATTGAGGCTTTTGTAATTTTTTTCAAATAAAATGTTCGGATCATCGTTAGAGATGATTTCTATCTCCAATAATATCACTAGACATTAAAAGTCTCTTCAAAGATTGTGATACCAAATACGTTATATTGCACCATTTATTTGAAAAAGAACATGTCATTCTTACGGATCTTCATTTCTATAACATTATCTTGAAAATTGTGACAATTGCAACGTTTTGTTTGGTAACTCAAAAAATGATAGTTTTTGAGTTGAATTTGTTGGTTGTTGGTTTTCTATTTCATTAATACCATAAATATACAAAAATTACAAATAATGATAAAAAATAAAATTCATTTTTTTCTAAATCTTGTTTCTTTTATAGTAAAGATTTGTTATTCTTCATCTTGATTTTGATGGATGTTGTCAATGAAAAGCATCAAACTTCTTTGTTGTATTTGCAACATTTTTAGTTAGTTCCCATAAGTATTTAGTAATATCATATCTATGCCTTGAATAAGATATTTCAACCTATTTCAACATTGCTTTAAGTTCAAGACTTCTTCAATTTCAAATTCTTTATTATTATCCACTTCTATAGGAAGAAGTGGCATTTATTTTCTTTTTAATATATCATCTTATCTGGCTCTAGAAAAGACATATAAACTCATGATGGATCTTGATAAATTTTGGTAGATATAATCAATAAGTAATTGGATTGATCTATTGACAAATAAAAAATGGTCCAAGTCTATAATAATTCAAATTATCCCAAGGACAAATAGTCTTGATATTACAATGAAATAATCATATCTTATTGTCTAAGTGGAATTGAAGTTGTTCCTTATAATACGCATCTGCATTAATCTTTTGTCATTTTTGAACTTCTTTTAATTGTGTCTTTATTGTTGCATATAGCTTTAATAAATGATTTATCAAGTCTTCTACAATAGGATTATTAATTTTTAAGAAGTCATAAGTATCAAATTATGAATAATAATCATAATTGACAAGAAAAAAGTGTTTATTGAGTAAAAGAATGTATTCTATTGTTATAAATAAACTCTATCAATAACAAAAGTATTGTCCAATCATCTTGATGGTAAGTAATAGTATTTCTTAAATAATGCTATAAAACTTGATTCACATGTTTTGTTTGTCCATTAATTTGAAGATAGAAATCTAAGAATAGTTTTATATCTACCTTCAAAATTTTGAAAAGGATTTTTCAAAATTTTGATGCAAATGGTGTTCTTCTATCAAATATAATATCTTTTGATAATGTGTAATAGTTATAAATGTTATTAAAGAAAAATTTAGCTATTTCTTTACTTGTGATAGGTTTTGTGCATAATACAAAATGTACCATCTTATTGAAACAATCTACAATCATATATATAGAATCATGTAAACTTGAATTTGAAAGATCTTTAATAAAATCTATAAAAACAAATGACTATGGTTGTTTGGATATTAGTAATGGACGGAGAAGTCCATAAGGTTGATGATAAGGAATTTTTAATCTTAAACAAATATCACATAATTGTACAAAGTCTTTTGCTACTGTCTATATTTGAAACTACCAAAAAAAATTAGATATTAGTTTGCAAGTCTTATTATATTCAAATATCATGTAGCTTGACTTATAATTGATCTTGGTTGCTAAATTTTTTCTTGAATAAAAAACTATTAAGTGAAGTTTGTCATTTGCTCCTATATGTAATAATACTATATCTAAAGCAAAATTTGATGCATCCGTTTCTAAAAAAATGTCTAAAAAAGTTGATACAATACAAGATTAGGCAAAAATAAACTTGGCTTCAAAGCTTTAAAAGCCCCTTTTTTTTTTTTTTTTTACCCAAGGTTTTTTTTTTTTTTTTTTTTTTTTTTTTTTTTTTTAGTAAATCAAATATATAAGCAAAAGTATAACTTGAAAAAGTTCTTGATAAAAATTCGATAATAATTTAAAAAATCCAAAAAAAATTAGACATATTTTAATCTATAATAATTTAATTTTTTTGAAATCCATCATAAGGCCATCATTTGAAATGATATATCCTAAAAAATCAACTTGAGTTGTGTGAAATATATATATTTTTTTTATCTTTGCATATAGTCTAACATCTCTAAGTTTTTGTAATATGCAATAAATATAAAGTTCATGCTCTTTCATATTCTTAGAATAGATTAAGATATTATTTAGATAATAGATAATAAAATAATTTATAATTTCTCAAAAAACATCATTTATTAGATATTAAAAATTAGTTGATAAATTTGTAAATCAAATAGGTATGACATTGAATTTAAAATGCCCATATGTAGTTTGAATTGCAATCTTTCATTTATCTTCTTCTTTAATGTATATCAAATTATATATTTATTATAGATTTATTTTAATATAGATCTTTGCTTAATTAAATTGATTAAGAAGTCTTGATATCAAAGATAAAAGATACTTATTCTTAATGATGATCTTATTGAATCCTTGATAATCTATATTCATCTAAAGTGATCCATCTTTTTTCTTCACAAATAAGATAAGAATTCATGCGAGAAATTTTGAATGACATATAAAGTTCTTAGTTAATTTTTTGTCAATGTACTCTTTTAATGCAGCCAACTTTAGAATAAGTTATAGATTAGTTTAAATGGCAATAGAATTTTATCTTGAAGATGAATTGAACAATCATAGGAAGAATATTTTGGAAGATTATCTACATTCTTCTTCTTAAAAATGTCTTGTTAATCTTAATATTGGCTTGAAATATCACTTAAAATCTTTTTACCATAAAAAATGAGTGTTGCTTAAATAAAAAAATATGATCCTTTCTTTGCAACATACATGAAAGTTCTAGCATCTACCAATAAAGCTTTGATTGTATTACACTTATGATTTTTTAGTTCAATAATAAAAGTCTAGATTATGCTGTTGGAAAAATTAAAGTTATATGAAATCTAATCTATTCAAAGATTATATTTTTTTAATTGCAATAAACCTAAAGTAAATAAATTAGAAGAAAAATTAATAATATTAAATATTATTAAGCTATTATGACCATTAATTGCTACATTTAAAGAAACTATTCTATAGATAACATCTCTAGAAGACAATAAATGACTATCTATGATTTTTACATGCACAAACTTAGTTTTTTTGATTAAAGATATTTCAAGTTTTTAAATAAAGTCTATGTCTATAAATTAAACCAAGGTTCTTAAATCCAATATAATGAAGGCTTTATAATTTTTTAATCCTAAAATATATCTATTATAAAATAAGGTGAAAGATCTAATAAGAGAATAAGACTTTTATCAAGTATTGTATAAGATTCTAGCTACATTATCTCTATTATAGCTAGATAATTTTATTTTTAACATATTATTCTTTTTAGCAATCATGGTCCTTATTTTGTGATTATGTGGCTTCTTTAGATAATTTTGAATAATGTGCTTATGTTCTCTACAATATAAGTACAAACCTTCTCAATAATATTGATTCTTTTCTTGCTTAGTAAGAGATTTGAAACATATCATGTTAATTTATATAGGTACCAATCTTGATAAATAAGTTTTAAAAATTTAGAAGTTGTTGCCATGATTTGATTTGTATTTTTTCAATTTAATATTTGTTTTTGATATCTTTCAAAAAAATCAATTGTTGTATATAATATCTTAAGAAATAAATTATTCTAATGAATTTTTTTTAGTATTATTAATAATAAATCTTTGATATTATCTTTTTATTCATTTCAAAATTGATTAATAAGGGCTTTGTCATTTCAATCTACAATACAAGTAAAGTTTTAGAATTTGATAGCATATATATTAACTAATAGTGATTTGTTTTGTAATAAGAAGGATTTAATTTCAACTATTTTTTTTGGTCACTTTTTTCAAATTTGACTATAAAAACTTTTAAAAAAAAAAATCAATTCATAGAAAATTCATGATTTTTTTTATCTGAGGTAAAAAAAAAAAAAAAAAAAAAAAAAAAAAAAAAAAAAAAACCCTTTTTTATAAAAAAAAATATTACAAATCC